GTCAACTTTAGGGGCTGGAGAGATGGCTCAATGGTTAAGAACACTGGCTATTCTCCCAAAGGATCTGGATTCAATTCCCAGCACCCAGGTAGAAGCTCACAACTGTCTGTAAGTCCAGTTCCATGGCATCTGTCGCCCTCTTCTGGACTCCACAGGTTCCTGCATGGACAGTTAAGAATAACTAAAAATATTTAAAGCAAAAAAAAAAAAAAAAAAAGAGTAAAAAATTTTTTAAAAAAATAGTCAACTTTATTCAGAGCACCAAAAGTTAGACTGTGAGGGTTAAGAAGAATTTCATGGTAAAGTGTACAGTCACAAGGATAAGAGATGCCATATGGCAAAACATTCTTTTCCATGGAAGTATATGAACAAATAACAATAGCCAGCTGTAATGAACAACCTGAAGTAAACTCACCCTATCCATTACAACTCGGGAGGCGTGAGAGCACAATCCAAGAACAGTTCTGTGTTTTCAAAGACACTGAGGTCCCAAGACTCTTGTCCTGGTTTCTCAGGGTTTTCTCACAAGCACTCAGGATTCCCCTCACACGACTCCATTCTTGGGCCGTGTTCTGACAGAGGGGTGTTTGCTTTTATGTCACCATAACCCAAGTGTCTGGCAAAAAAAAAAAAAACAACTTAGAATAACTTGTGGTTTCAAGGGCAGATGAGCCATAGCTGCTTGGCCTTCCGTGCCTGTAGGAGCGTGTGGAGGGAGATACGTGCTCTCCCACAGCAGGCCAGGAGACCAAGGACAGTGTGAGCCCAGGAGCAACCTGTCTCTTCAGGGCAGACCTCACCTCCCTAATCTCCTATAACTTTCCAGAATAGAAACACCAGCCAAGGATCAAGCTTCTAAAACGTGGACTCTGGGCGTGGGGGAGTCACTCCAGATTCAAGCCCAAACAAGAGATATCTGTAGGAGCCCCCACAGTGAGAGAACTCTCGCCCTCCACCGCCACCTCCCTTGACCTCTGGCCCTTGCCTGTGGTGAGCGATGCCGTCTGGGGGCATCACTGATGTCTTTCCACTCCCCAACCTTGACCGTAATTTTCAAACAAAGACTACAACTCAGCCCAGTGTGTATCACGGTACTTACTGGCAATCTTAGCGTCAGGAAAGGTGGGAGGCAGGAGGAACGGGTGTTCAAGGTAATCTTTTGCTACATAACCAGTTCCCAGCCAGTGTGGGCTACATGAGATGCTGTCTCAAAACAATACAGAAGCAAAAAGGCAGAGACACTGAGATCTCTAGGCGGGTAAGGCACCTGCTGCCAACGCTGGGCAACCTGAATTCAGTCCCTAGAACCCGTGTTAGGAGGAGAGAACAGATTCCTGCAGGTGTCCTCTGACCTCTACGTACGTGGTACAGGCATGTGTGTACACACATACATAAATGTGATAAAAAATACTTTAAAAGAATGAAGTGTTGAGGCAGAGGCAGGCGGATTTCTGAGTTTGAGGCCAGCCTGGTCTACAGAGTGAGTTCCAGGACAGCCAGAACTACACAGAGAAACCCTGTCTCGAAAAACCAAAAAAAAAAAAAAAAAAGAATGAAGTGTTAACCTCAAAACAACAACAACAAAATAAAACAACTATAATCCAGTCACAGTTCTTGCCCAACTGAAAGGCTGGGGTTTGAGCCCAACTCTACCTTGTTCTCAAGCCACAGACCCATGGGCCTTGCCCGCCGTGACATCTTCCTCCAACTTCAGAGGAACACTGTCCTAGCCTGTGGACCAGACGTCTCAACTCCCTGTGTATCACCTCCTAACAGCTAGGGAAACTGAGGTTCGGGCCTAGGAACTAATTATACCTGACTAGGCAAGAAACAACAGTGAGGTTTGAGACCCGTACTCTCCAGCCTGGGTCTGCTGTGCCCACCAAATGCTGCCTGCTTGCCTAGCTCTTTCAGAGAGAAGGGAGCCTGCAGTGAGGCTGGGGCCCAAGCACCTGGGAAGGCTAGGTAACCCTCTTCTACAGCCAAGAGGCAGAACCCTAAACTAGCAGGGCAGTCACCCAAGTGCCTGTACACCCTCCCTCCTTGAGAAGCCTACTCTGCCCCTGCACTCCCTGTCGCCACCACCTCCCTGGCAGACATCCCGGGCGGGCGGGCGGGCGGGCGAGCCTCTTTGCTGAGCTTCAGTTAATAGCAGATAGCCTTGCCAGCAGCTCCCATCCACAGCAGAGCCTCCTGGATGTTAAAAAGCCACCGGCAAGCAGGTCATGAACTCCTCTGGTGCTGTCCCTCCAGGACGTCACCTCTGTCCCCTCTCTGTCCTGCAGGTATGCAGCTGCCCCGCATCCCCTACTGTCATTTGACCCTCACTTTATCCACGATGGCATGTCCAGTGGTGACTCCTCGTCAGGTGGCCTGACCAGCCAGGAAAGCACCATGGAGCGCCCAAAACCAGGTAAGCCAATCTGGGCCCCAACGCAGCTGCTGCTTCCCAAGGACTTGTCCTGAGAGGTCACAAGTGACCTCTCTTCTCAGCTGCATTTGGACTGTATAGACTGTAAAATCAGACCATGTCTACTTTGCTCAAGTGCTTCTGGATTCTGTGACGTGACGTCATGCTAGTGCCAGGCAGCCACATGACTGAATGTAGTGTGGGATTTCTGTATTTAATATTCCATTGTCTGAGCACACCCCACTCTGGTGCTTGAGGGATGCTGAGGGGACCAGTTTGAAGCTGCTTAGAAACATCTTCCTCTGTCCCTGTATGAGCATGTGTTCCTAGGTGTAGAACAGCTAGATTGTGTATTTGACTTTATAAGAAACTGCACCAATCTATACCCCAGAGTGCTGACCCATTTCCACATCCACCAGTGACATAAAAGTGTCCTTAACAGCCTTTCTATTCGGGCCCCTGGGGTGGACATAGAGTGCTATCATGATGTCGTTTCCTTTGTATCTTTCTTTTAATCAATTCTATTGAACTTACATATTGGCCAGGCGTTGGTGGCACACGCCTTTAATCCCAGCACTTGGGAGGCAGAGGCAGGCGGATTTCTGAGTTCGAGGCCAGCCTGGTCTACAGAGTGAGTTCCAGGACAGCCAGAACTACACAGAGAAACCTAGTCTCAAAAAAAACAAAACAAAACAAACAAACAAAAAAAACCCTTACATATTCATTCATTTATTTAGAAAGATGTATGTTATGTAGCCCAGGCTAGCCTCACACTATGTAGCTGAGGATGTCCTAGTATTTCTAATCCTTCTTGTCCATATCTCACAAGTGCTGAGATTACAGCCATATATGACCATACCACCCAGCTTAATTTCCATTTTCAGACTGATGGAATTGAACATCCTACACACACACACACACACACACACACACAGAGAGAGAGAGAGAGAGAGAGAGAGAGAGAGAGAGAGAGAGAGAGATAGTGTTATGAATTCTGTACCTGTACCACTTGAGCGAACACTTAAAACACAATCTCTTGTAACAACCTTGTAACCCCTTTGAAGCCCAAGGACCTCTGATGAGCAGTCAGGGGGGTTCCAAAGGAAGACGGCTATGGAAGTGTTAGAAAGGTGAAGCAGACAGGCAGACATGCTTCTGGGAGGCATTGAGGGCTCCCAGGCAGCCGGGAAGGGTGTCCTCAGCCATATGCCCAGGGACTGGGTATAGTGCATGGGTGTCCTGAACCAGACAGTGGTTCAGCCCAGGAAGGGCCGTTAGCTTGTCCTTGCTGCTCATCTCTCGGCTGCCTTGAGGGCTTATGACCCATCTGTCCCTCCTCAGTGGGCTACACTGCCTACTGCAGCTCATGGATCTGTGATCTGTTTCCAGGACAGATTCGTGTCCTTTTTTTATTTTCCCACTGCATTCAGAAAAGGAGAGGAATATGTTGCCTGGCTCTTTTAACACAGCAAAGTGCAAACTGGGGAGACTTTAAGCATTCAGCAGAGGCCCCAGTGGGGACATCAGACCCCACTGTTCTCCCTTCTGTCCCCTAGAGTCCCAGCCTCCTTTTCCTTCCCTGGGACCTTAGTTTAAGGTGACTAACACCTTCCCTGACATACATACATGTGCACACGCATGTACACCGGGAAGATCTGTGCTCAGACATCATCAAGAAGTTTAGAACACGTGGAAGACCCAGAAAAGGGAACATTCTAGAAGAGTGGTTGGGCTAACAAGGAGCCAAAGCAGTGGCACACACAGGGCCTTGCCGGCCTCCCTGCAGAGAGTTGTGACCTCAGCAGCCCGGTTTTGTATGATCGCCGTATGCCTGGCGTTGTTTGTGTAATCGCCGTATGCCTGGCGTTGTTTGTATGATCGCCGTATGCCTGGCGTTGTTTGTATGATCGCCGTATGCCTGGCGTTGTTTGTGTAATCGCCGTATGCCTGGCGTTGTTTGTATGATCGCCGTATGCCTGGCGTTGTTTGTATGATCACCGTATGCCTGGCGTTGTGCTAGGTGCCTCATGTTCCCTGCTGCTGAGTCACAGCAGCAGTGGCATGACTGCCCGGTACAAGAATGAGGCAGGTGAGGCATGGAAGGGGTGTCGCTTGCCCAAGGTTGCTGCGGGTGAGTCATGTAATTGGGATTTGAATTGGAACCTGTTGGGTCACCCCACCATCCGTAGGGTGTGGACACAGCCACTTGTTTCTGGTACCAGAGAGCACTCAGGTTAGCAAAGTGTCCTGAGGTACCCAGGCTGCCTTCAAGAGTTTCAACTGCTGGCTGTAAGCTCATGCTCCCATGGGCCTGGCAGTAAGTTCCGAGTCAGACACAGGTCCTCCACGGTGATCCAAACCCTTTGCAGAATCCTAAGCATCTCTCCTTCAAGGATGGTTGGAGGTCTGAGTCACGTCTACCAGGCACCAGGACTGCCCCTCCTTAGGACACTGTCCAGGCCCTTGTGGTTACTGTTGGTTGTTGCTGGCAGGCCGGAAACCAGAGAATGGTGGGGGACTATGCAGCAGAGAATCTGACCACTTCCTGCTTGACAATTTCTCTCTGCGTGACCTCGAGCCACTTACTTAATCTCTCTGAGCACTGATGGTACCCTTCTACTCAAGGTGGTTCCAGTATCTACTTCAGTAGTACTAGTCCTGTCCAGCAGACTGATACATGCAGCCAGGCATGGTGGTGCATGTCTAGAGTCCCAACATTGAAAAGACAGAAATAGGAAGATCAAAATGAGTCCCAGGCCAGCCTGGGCTCTATAGTGAGACATTGTCTCAAAAATAAACATAAGGGGCTGGCAAGATGGCATTTGCTACCAAGCCTGAAGACTTTACAGTCTCCAGGGACATGGACACACAGGCTAACAAGTAATGTAATAAAATTTTTAATAAATAAATACAAGGCTAGGAAGTTGACTCTGAATAAGAGCAGTTGCCACACAAGCCTGATAACCTGCATTAGATCCCTAGAACCCATGCAAAAGGCCAGATCTGGTGCACATCTGTAATTCAAACGTGGCCGTACTCCAGATGTGGTGGTGCACATCTGTAATCCAAATGTGGCTGTACTCCAGATGTGGTGGTGCACATCTGTAATCCAAACGTGGCTGTACTCCAGATGTGGTGGTACACATCTGTAATTCAAACATGGCCGTACTCCAGATGTGGCTATGGCACATCTGTAATCCAAATGTGGCCGTACTCCAGATGTGATGGTGCACATCTGTAATCAAAATGTGGCCGTACTCCAGATGTGGTGGTGCACATCTGTAATCTAAACGTGGCCGTACTCCAGATGTGGTGGTGCACATCTGTAATCCAAACGTGGCCGTACTCCAGATGTGGTGGTGCACATCTGTAATTCAAACATGGCCATACTCCAGATGTGGTGGTGCACATCTGTAATCCAAATGTGGCCATACTCCAGATGTGGCTATGGCACATCTGTGGCACTATGCACTTGTAATTCCAGCTTCCTACAGCAAGATGGAAGACAGAGACAGGACAGTTGCCTGTAACCTCTGGCCAGCTAGCTTGTTGTGAAGTAGCAGAAAGAACAAGAGACACCAACATCTGGGGATGGTGGGTGGCTCACGCCTTTAATCCCAGCACTCAGGAGGCAGAAGGCAGGCAGATCTCTGAGTTCAAAGCCAGCCAGGTCTACAGAGTGAGTTCTAGGACAGCCAAGGTTGCACAGAGAAACCCCATCTTAGGGACAAAAATGAAAAGAAAGTGACATCCATGTCAATATAGTGGAAGGAGAGAACCAGCTCCCAAAGGCTGTCACTGACCTCTGCACGTCCGCCATGGCACTCAAGCACTCACACTCGCACATGAAGAGATGACGTAAATATGTTCAGTACCATTGAAAGACCTTCAGTGCATCAGTGAGATTCAAGTCTCCCCTAGAACAGCAGGAAGGGCTGTCCATGTACACGGCTGCAGCTGGGCAGGACATGTTCAGCCTCCACTGGGGACAACGGTGGAAGGGCATCTGCTTCCCTGAGTTAACCACATAAAGCTCAAAGAATGCTTTCTGACACGTAGTACAGGCTCATCAGATCCCCCTGCTACTGAGTGCTGGTGTAGGCATGCATTGATAGAGCCTGAAGTTAGCCAGAGTGGGACCGTGCAGCCATAGTTTAGAGCAGATTCTCAGGCCCTGGCCTGCATCACCCCTAAGCACCGGTGTGTCTCCTCTTTTCCTGCAGAACCTCTGTGGCACGTGCCAGCCCAGGCCCGGCTCTCCGCAATGACTGGAAGCACTGGCAGCAAGCATCCCTCCAGGCAGGACGCAGCTGGCAAAGATTCTCCCAATAGGCATTCCAAAGTGAGTTGCTGCCCGCCCCACCCACCCCACCCTACCCTGCCTCATCCGGGGAGTGAGGCCTGCAATGGCTGGTTGCTGGCTGGTGGCTTTCCTGAGCACATGGCTGTAGAAGACGGCTGGGCAGCTCTCCTGGGTGTGGCCTCTGGAGCAGGGCTCATCCTTAGCCACAGCCACAATCCCCTCTACAGGGGCTAAATAACATCCAGGCTCCAACCCTCCGCCAAGTAACCTTGACAAGTCCTTCCCTTCCTCTCTGCACCATGGAGGTCCTGGTGGGCAAGTCCTGTGCCTGCAACCCCTGCATTTCAGAGACCTTCAGCTATAGACAGTCAGTCCCTCCCCCTAAGAATGCAGTGTGGCACAGGGCGAGTCAGGGACTCAGGCTCCCTGCTGTCACTTGCTGTCTGTCTCTCAAGGCCTCCAATCTCCTGGGTCTCCTAGGACCTGCATTGTTGCAGCCAGTAGTAGGGTAGGAGGGAGAGAGGCTCAAGGGGGAGATTTTTCAGCCCAGGCCAGAGATGGCATGAGTCATCCACATATATTGCCATGGCTAGGGCTCCATCCCTGCAAAGAAGGCTGGGAAATGTAGTCCTGTAGTCCTGTTGATCTTGGCCACCTTATTTTTCATGCTGAGCACTGGGACCATTACAGAGGAAGAGGCCAGAGGAGCCACTGTCCTCAGGAAACTGACATCCCAGTGAGGGTAACAAGCCCTAAGTAGGCAGAAGCACAACAGCTTGTTAAGAAAGCGTAGCGCGGCCTCAGGTAACACTCAGCAGAGCCCTGGGAGGAGCTGTCTTGGCCAGCACCACTCCGGAGGTGCTGAAACAAAACCAGGACCAAATCAACTCAGAGAGGAAAGGATCACCTCAGCTGACACTTCCACAGCACTGTCATCACCAAAGGAAGTCAGGGCAGGACTTAAACAGGGCTAGCACCTGGAAGCAGGAGCTGATGCACAGACAGACCATGGAGGGGTGCAGCTTACTGGCTTGCTCCTCATGGCTTGCTCAGTTTGTTCTCTTAGAAGAACTCAGGACCACCAGCCCCGGGATGGCACCATCTATGGGGCTGGGCCCTTCTCATCAATCTCTAATTAAGAAAATGTCCTCCAGGCTTGCCTCCAGACTGGTCTTACAGGCATTTTCTGAATTGAGGCCCCTCCTCACTAATGACTCTAGCCTGTGTCAGACTGACATAAAACTAGCCGATGCAGGAGGTAACTTTGAATGAAGCCAGGACAGGGCCGTAAAAAGAGCTGAGAGAAAATGTCACAGACAGGGAACAACAAGTGCGAAGGCCCGGAGGCTTGTTCCTGCCACATCCAGAGAACACAGGAGACTCGTGTGGCTGGAACAGTGATGTAGAGAGACAGGGGGGCGGCTTCAGACACCAGAGCATGAGTCAGACCACTGAGGCCCGTGAACTGTGGCAAGGACTCTGATCCGTGCCCTGAAATTACCGCAGGAGAGTTTCAAGCAGGCGGGGAGGGACATGATTCCATACAGATGCTCACAACTGTCCTCTGACCACATATTGGGAACAAATCTGGAGAGGGAGATGGAGAGGAGGGGGCGGCAGCAGCCCCACGGGAGGCAGTGGCAGACAGGATCCAGGGAGAACAGAGGAAGATGACAACGTGACAGTTCTGCATGCGTCTGGAAGCTACAGGCAGCAAGCAGCAGGTCTGCAGATCTGGTACTGAAAAGATGTGAGGGAGGAAGGACGGGACTGGGGTTAGATGGGGCCCCAGACCTCAGTTTGAGAAACATTCAGTTTGAGACATGTCAGTCCAAGCACCAAACGAGTCAGGACTTCTAATCACATACCCATTTTACAAAATGTATAAACTGAGGCTGAGAGAAAGTAAATCCCATCGTGTAGAGTTACTGTACCAATAAGGGAGGAGCCAGAATGTGGGGTGCTAGTGTGGGCAGAGGCTCCCATCCCCAGAGTCAGGATGACACCCGCCTTGCCTTCCAGGGTGAACCTCAGTACTCAAGCCATTCCAGCAGCAATACCCTCTCCAGCAATGCCTCCAGCAGCCATAGTGACGACCGATGGTTCGACCCCCTGGACCCGCTGGAGCCAGAGCAGGACCCCTTCTCCAAGGGAGGTTCGAGTGACAGTGGCATCGATACCACACTCTACACCTCCAGCCCCAGTTGTATGTCCCTAGCCAAAGCACCGAGGCCCACCAAGCCGCACAAGCCCCCCGGAAGTATAGGTCTCTGTGGCGGGGGCAGAGAGTCAGCCGGGAGGCCCCACCCTGCGGACAGACGGCGGGAAGTCTCCCCTGCACCTGTGGTGGCCAGCCAGAACAAGGGCTACCGGCCGAAGCTGTACTCCTCAGGCTCCAGCACTCCTCCCGGCCTGGTGGGGGGCAGCCGAGACCCACCAAGACAACCCAGGTGAGGACCCACGACCCGCTCCAGGTCTTCTAGGAGACCCCTGACCGCCTCTCCCACCCACACCCCTAATGTTGAGATCCTTCCCCCATATATGCTTGCTGATAACTGTACTTCAGAGTTGGGTTGGAGGACACATGCTGCATACCTGTCAGCCTCCAAAAATCCAGACAGGGAGAGCAGCCCCTAAGTGCCTGTCTTCGTCTGTCTCTGGGTCTCTCTGACCCTCTAGCTTCTCCTCTCTCTGCTCTCTGTGACCGATGGTTTTAACTCTGTGAGGGGTTTCAGATCTTGCTACCACAAGTGTGTTTGCAGGTCAAAAAAGTAGAGACTTAACATCTTCCGACACAGTGTCCGGAGAGAGCAGAGTAGGCTGCCACGTGACTCAGTAGGTCCTGAGAACTGGTCTCTGCCCTCGTGGAGTGCTCTTCTTATCATGCTGGTGGCTTTCTGGTCTCAAAATGGAGTCAGAGAGCAAAGGGGAGCTCCAGCATCTCTGCCATAAACCACTCTGTGTGGAGAAAGCAAATGCTTCCCCAGAGCCACCCACAGCTGGTGGTGTCGTGTGACTCTCCCAGCTGCAACTGAGGTCTCTCTCCAAAGGCCTGCTTTGGCCTTCCAGCTTCTGGCTCTGAGCCATAGTTCCCAGACTCACCCCTGATCAACCCACCTCTCAACCCTGAGCTCTGCCTCAGTAGGTTGGGTGGGGTACAAGAATATGCATTTTCTTTTAAAGCTCTTAGCTGCGGCTGAACGCCATAGTCTCACGAGTGCTCTCTGAGAAGCACCAGTAGGAAGGCAGGTGGGGAGGAGATGTACCTCAGCTGGAGTCAGAACCCACACACCTAGTGCTCCTGGAACCGCAGTAGACAGTCTGCCCAAGAAAGAGAGGGACCACCTTGGTCCCATCCAGCTGCCCCACTGACACACTAGAAGTCCCTGCCTGAGTGGCTGAACTCAGGACTTCCAGCAAAACTCAGGGCCTTCCTGGGGTAAAAAGCTTCCTTGGTACCTTTGTCTGTGAGCATGTGGACTCCGTAATTCACCGTATAACCCCATGTCTTTGTTTCTTTTCTTTAATTTTTATAAAAGTATTCATTTATTTATTTTAAGACAGGGTCTCACTATGTAGCTCTAACTGGCCCAGAACTCCCCAAGTGGTCTTTGAACTCACAGTGATCCACCTGCTTCTGCCTTAAGAATCCCAGGGTTAAAAGTGTGTGCCACCATATCTGGCTTCCTTCTTTTCCTTTTCCTTTTTCTTTTTTTTTTCTTTTGTTTCTCTTTTTTGAATGTGTCTATGCACCACACGTGTGCCTGGCATCTAAGGACACCAGGAGGGGGCATCAGATCCCTTAGAACTAGACTTAGAGATGATTCTGAGCCACACTGTGGGTTCTTGGAATTGAGCCTGGGTCCTCTGGAAGAGCATTCAGTGATCTTAGCCGCTGAGCTGTCTCTCTGGCTCTGAGCTGTTGATGGGTGCAGTCTCAGGACCACGCTCTGAGAACCTCACGTGGGTGAGAGCTGTTTCTGCATAGGAATAGCGGGGATTTTCACTAGCTGCACACAGTAGTCTGCTCCAGTTATAAACTGTAGAACGCTGCTTCCTCCTTGCTAGAAGGATTTCATGATTTCCCCCAAGGGTTTCTAACAGATTAGAAAACCATCATGACTGGGCTGGGATATAGCATTTGTGTATTTGTGATGTAGTATTTGTGAACCCCCGAGTTCAAATCCCATAACCAAAAGAAGAAATAGGAGAGCTGGGAAAGAAAGGAAGGAAGGAAGGAAGGAAGGAAGGAAGGAAGGAAGGAAGGAAGGAAGGAAGGAAAGAAGGAAAAGAAAAAAGAAAAGAAAAGAAAAGAAAAACCCGGCTGCAGGATGGGAGTGCCTGAGTCCTCAGCTTCCCTGATCTGAGTAGTTCTTGACTCTGGGAGCCCAGGAAGGTTGCCATGGAGACAAAGAGAAAGGCAGAGTGAGGGTGCTATCTTAGGCTGCCTTCCTAGACAAGTAGTTCTCAATTTCTGACCTCACTGACTGCTTCATTCATTCATTCATTCATTCATTCATTCATTCATCATTTGTTTCTTAGAGACCTGTGCTGCCCCAGGTAACACTGGCCCATCTCCACAGGTGACAGCCGGTCCAGTCACCACTCAGAACAAAGTAGAACTGTACCCACTGAGCAGTGCCAGGATGTGGAGGCAAGACAGCATAGCAGGGCATCTCCAGCCTGTTGTGGTCCCTGTTCTTGGAACATTGGTGGGAGCTAGACCTCGTAGCACAGGCCTGTCATCTCAGCTTATTGAGAGACTAAGGCAGGATGATGGCAAGTTCAAAGCCAGCCTGGTCAACTTAGTGAGACCCTGTTTCAGAACACAGTAACAAGCTAACCGTGGACTGGAGGTGTAGCTGGAGGCCTCACTGTTGAGCTGTCCTGGGTTCAACCCCTAGCACTGAAAAGAACATTTTTGTAGGGTTTTGAAATCCGTGATATAAAGGCAGTAGTGATGCCAGGCGTGGATGGTGGGTGAGGCCAGGGGGTGGGAACAGATTACCCCGTATCTGAGAGAAGTATTTGCCAAACCCAGACGTGGAGGGGGTGGGAGGAGCCCCACTATACAAGTGGCCCTGGTGGTGGTGGCTTTAATTTGCATATAAACAATTGATGCTAATTGCAAGTCATTCTTATCTACTCATTAAAGCTGCTTCCTGAAGTTTTCTCCTAGGCAACGGGTTTTAGTGTGGAACAGCATTTCCCAAAATGGGGTGCCTGAGGTGATCTGGGTGCTAAGAGGAGGGAGATGTTATCTCTTAAATGGATATGTTTCCTTAGGAGGCAGCAGTGCTTCCAACCCACTCGTGATCTTACAGACTGCCCTGGACCCTATGGACAATGAGATGAACCTGCCTCTCGCTTTTTCTTCTCTTGTGTGTGTGTGGGGGGGGGGGGGAGGAGGATAAAGGAGGAAGAGGAAGATTATTTGTTTTTGAGACTGGACCTTACTCTGTAGCCCTAGCTAACCTATAACTCAACTATGTAGATCAGGCTGGACTCAAACTTGTGGTAATCCTCCTACCTCTGCCTCTGAGGTGCTAGAAGTACCCTTAGTTGCCACCACACAGTGTTAGAAATGAGATGATTTTTTTTCTTTTTTCTTTTTTTTTTTCTTTTTCTTTTTTCTTTTTTTTGGTTTTTCGAGACTGGGTTTCTCTGTGTAGCCCTGGCTGTCCTGGAACTCACTCTGTAGACCAGGCTGGCCTCGAACTCAGAAATCCGCCTGCCTCTGCCTCCCAAGTGCTGGGATTAAAGGCGTGCACCACCACTGCCCGGCTGAAATGAGATGATTTTAAGAAACATATTGAGCCAGTTATAGCGATACACACTCATCATTCCAGCCCAGGGAAGGCTGAGACAGGAGGATTTATTATAGCAAGGACATCACACACGTCCACACCACATACATACACACCACACACACATACATACATACACACCACACACACACACATACATACACACCACACACACATACATACATACATACCACACACACACACACATACATACACACCACACACACACACAGGAGCGAAGGTGGTGTTGCAGCCGGGGCAGCAGGCTCTCGGTGTTGTCCCACTCGCTCTTCCCTCCCACCCCGTTCCTCACATCTCCATGGATACGTACATATCCCCTCAGACCTCATCTCAAGAGACCCAGGAACCTCTGCCATCTGCTCACTACTCTGCCCCTGGTAGCAGACAACTCTGAAGCCTTCCACATCTACCATTGTGGGTCTGGTCCTTGAGAATAACAGACAGCGTGGTACTTGAACCCAGCACCCAGACCCCAGTGAGGCTCTTACCTGGACAGGCCTGTCACCAGAGTCCCACATCTTATCTGCCCCTGCCCAACACTTGCCATTTATCCATGAGCAAGTGTGTGTGTGCCAGGCCCAGTGTTGGCTAGCCCCGTGGTATCAAGGTCATGGATGAGCTGCAGTAGCAGGCACCCTCAGAGGAGCGTGGCTGATGTCTTCAGACTGCAGTGTCACCATGTGGGTGCTTGTGTTGTATTTTGTGTGAGTTTGATCCTAAGGGCCAACGACAGCCAGGAAAGGTCTCAGCAGGAGGAGACGGGCAGATGCGTGCTGCTTCTGATTGTGTGTCGGCGTACACGGTGTACCACCCGTGAAGACTGCAGGGGCTGGCTTGATGAAGTTGCTTCTTTCTTTACTCCTTTACATGGATTATAGGAATCAAACTCAGGTCAACAGGCTTGCATAGCAAGTGCCTCTATCTGCTGAACCGGCTCCCTGGCCCCAGGTCTGGGCCTTGAAAGACAGTGTTTAGGGTAAGACAGGAGGTGGAGTCCCAGGGAGGATGAGGCTAAGTCACGCAGAGATGGCACAGGCCTGGAGCAAATGTCCAGGGAGTGAGCTCTCGCTAGTTGCTGTTAAGTGAGGAGCACCAGCCACTCTGACTGGAGAGGGATCTCAGACCAGACCAGAGCAGCTCTCCTCAGCAGTCTGTTCTAGATACCTCGATGCTCCAGGGAAAAGTCCAGTCCTCCTTCGTGGGGCTGACATTCTGCTGTAGAGAAGAGACAGATGGACAGACAGACAACAACCAAGTGAGACACAGATGGCAGTCAAGGCTCAGGAGGGAAATAGAGAGGCAGGCAGTGTCTTGATTTGTCAGAGAAAACAAGAGTCCTGGCAGCCCGACAGCAAAGGCCAGTACCTCACTGGCCTGTCTTGCCGTGCTCCGGGAATGTCAGGTGGCCGTGAGACTGAGGTAGACCCCCAAGGGAAAGGTGACAGGAGATCAGAGAGCACAGTGGGCAGGAGCCCTGCTAGCAGGCACGTTGCTGTGACTAGCTGACAGGATCTGATCCTGGAGGGTGTGAGAGTCATAGAAGGTGGCTGAGCCCCTAACCTGACATATATTTTTTAAAAACATTTTAAAAAAATATCACTCTGGGGGCAGGCCCATAATTGCAGTACTCAGAGGCAAGAAGGTTGTAAGCTGGAGGCTGGCCTGGGCTAGACAATGCTATCGCTCTTTAATTTTTAGAGGGAAGGTGGGGCACTCTAGTCTTCCCTGAAAGAAACAGACTGTTTAAGAGAAGACAGGAGAGAGAGAGCATAGTTTGAAAGCTGCCAGGAAGAGATGAGCCTGGCCCCACCCAGAAAGGCCCCACCCACTTCCCTGGCCCCAGCTCTTTTCTTCAAAGCCCACATGGCCTGTATCTGTTTGTGCAGGTCCATGACTTCAGCAACTTCACAGATATTACCCCACCCCAGACGTTCGTCATGGAAGCCCAACGGGCAAGCCCCCTGCCAGGTGCTGGCGCCTGTCATGGGCACCTGAATGGCCCAGCAAGCCCAGGCACATAACTGCCTGGCCCCTAAGCAGTACACATGCCAAAGTCTTTTGGTTTCCAGAGCAATTTGCCAGTCAGCTAGGGGGATCTGAGACTCTGTTCCACGTGGAGCTGACGCAGCTGGGCGTTCCCAGCAGGCAGGAAGCACGTGGCTTTGCTTCCCGGGCTGCGCTAGCAGTCTCCGGATCTGTCTGGGGATCCATCTCGGGCACAGCCCTAAAAGGTAATCTGGGGTCTGCTGGGGCCCACCCTGCCTGTGTCAGGAGACTAGAACCACACGATAGATCTGTCAGCAAGAGGGAGGGAAAAAAAAAAAAAACCCTGGCTATTTTCCTAGAACTCTAGGGGTTGAGGGAGTGCCCAAGATCTGTGGGCAGAGGGGCAGTTCAAAGGCCCTGGGGTAGAAACATTCCTGGGTATTTGAGGAATCGCATTGTGTGATTCCTCAATAGACAGGCAAGTGGAGAAACTGAGGACACAGAAGGGGCAGTTGGAGTGGGACCTGTGGGGTCTCTGCCTGTCTGCATGAGCCAATACCACAAGAAGTTCTGGAGTGTTGCACATTCCCACAGGGTCCCTGTGGCTGTGGGGAGAACACAGAAGGCAGGTGACCCTAGAAGAGACAGTGGTGGTGATGCTGGCGGGTAGCACTTGGTGAAGGTGGCAAGCAGCGACGGACATAAAATCCAGGTGAAACCCATCATTTCAGACCCTCAGGTCACTTCGGACACAGAGGAGGGTGGGGGCAAGATGAGGGCAAGCCAGGTGATGTGCAGCCTGTCTCCCTGGGCTATGTGGGCACGGCGTCACTGCCTGACAGCCTGCCACTGAACTCCTTCAGACCCTTGGTCTCTGAGGCTCAGCCTCCCTTCCATCAGATGGGACAATAACGGGTGGCCGGGCTGGGCACAGTGCTACCACAGTATCCTAGCACTTGGGAGGTAGAAGCAAGAGTAGAAACAGTCAGGGTCATCCTCAGCTACACAGCAAGCTGGAGGCCAGCCTAGGATATGTGAGTTCCTGTCTCTAAAATGTTGGCGATAACAGTAATAGCTTCGGTCCAGCCAAGGTCATGTGGACATACCAAGGCTTTTAGCATTCCCCCCCCCACACACACACACACACACTGAGTTCAGAAACACCACTGCTGCTGTGCTTTGTATCTGTCTATTAGGCCTTTCTCCTGCGGATGACCTTGGAGTACAGAAGAAAGCTCGAGGCTGGTATCTCTCCCTGATCCTGTGTATCACTAGAAGGAAGCCGTCTAGGCTCTCCCAGCCCCAGTGCTCCCACCTGAAATACAGCAGTGGTAACTCCTGCAGCAGGAAGTGTCCGGTGCTGTATGAGGAGCTGTGTGGGACATGTTTAAACCGGGCCGGTGTCAAGGATCTTTCCAGTCATCCTTGTCACATCACCCAGGCCAATCCTGTTCTTCCCTCAAAGACAGGGCCCCAGCGTTCTGCTGCGTACCATCCTCCATCCAGGACCTGCCGGCCCCTTCAGAGCCTGGATGGAGCAGGAGTACTGTACAGCCTCACAAAGCCAAAGGGCCATGTCCACCCAGCCTGTGGCTAAAACGGCACCAGTGGAGAATACACAGCCCCGGGTCCCTGTCCTATCTTAGCTGGAGCGGGGCCATAGCCCCTGGGCAGGCCACCCCTGTGCACTTGCAGCTCGGGATGGCCATCAGTGGGTCATTTCTCAGGAGAACGCAGATTCACTAATGGGAAGAGACAAAGCCAGTGCACACATGGGCGCAGGTAGCCTTGCCCATCTGGAAGCCAAGCCCAAGTCTTCATCCGCAGGCCTCACATCCACACACGCCATGCTGAAGGGAAGGTCTGAGATCACCTCTGCAGCTGAGGTGAAGGCGGCCTCATCCCTTTTACCTGGAACCCTCTGTGTGAGGCTTAATCTCACTTTCCTGCACCCTTAGTTCTTGTCACTGCCACCTGCAGAGCTAGTAACCCTGCAACACTGCTCGGGAGCGTCTCCTGACGTGTCAGGTCCAGGTACCTGAACGCATGTCACATGTAATCCAGCATGGGCATCTGAAACTGCGTGTGACAAAATGTTCGTCCTTTATGTGGTTTATACTGGTATTTGGGGGGGGGGGGTTGGCGGGGTGGGGAGAGGGTTGGTTGTTTCTGTTTTGATACAGGGTCTAATGTAGTTGAGGCTGGCTAAAACCTCAGGGATTTAGTCAGAGGTGATCTGGAACCCCTGTCCTTGTGTCCCTGCCATCAGTGCTGGGATGACAGGCCTGACACTCTATACCTAACCAGAGTGAGCCATTAGAATTCTAAACTTTGCCGGGCGGTGGTGGCACACGCCTGTAATCCCAACACTTGGGAGGCAGAGGCAGGTGGATTTCTGAGTTCGAGGCTAGCCTGGTCTACAGAGTTCCAGAACAGCCAGGGGTACACAGAGAAACCAAAAACAAAACAAAAAAAATTATAAACTTTAAACAAGAGATGCTAAGGATTTGTCTTTATCTTCAAGTGCGTACGTCTGCATGTCAGTATTACATGTGACTACAGATTCCCGTGGAGGTCAGAGCCATGGGATCTCTTGGGAGCCGCACTTACAGGCAGTTGTGGGGGAATCAAATTCAGGTCCACCAGTGGAGCAGAAAGCACACTTCACTTCTCTTAGCTCCTATCTTAAAAAAAAAAAACTAATTTGCAATTAGAAATGGTGACGCATACCTCTAACCCCTGTTGTTATCCCACGGGAAGTTCAGGCAAGAAGACTGCTGTGCACCTCAGGCCAGCCTGGGAGGTGGCGTGAGACCTCCTCCAAAACAAATCACAAGGAGAAAGTTTTGATCCGCTGGCACAGTTGACTTTCCAAAGTTTGGTTGCGGTTGATAGCAGGAGGCTCCTTGTAGCAGTTAAGCAAGATAAAGGGGGTGAGGGCTCAGTGGGTCCTTCTGCGCAAACCCAACAACCTAAGCACAAAGTGGGAGGAGAGCCCAAGTCCACGGAGCTGCCTGCCTCCACACAGACCCCTTCCCCAGCGCACACAGCGACAGTAAATAGATTGTTATTGCTACAGTGTACCTTGACCGCTCGAGTGAGTGACCTTCTTTGTCTTTGCTTCTGCAGTGACATGGGCTCCAGGGCCGGCTACCCGACTCAGGTTTACAAAACAAGCAGTGCAGAGACTCCCCGGCCCTCCCATCCCTCTCAATGCAGCCCTTTCCAGCTCTCCACGTCGGTCCCCAAGTCTTTCTTCTCCAAGCAGCCTGCACACAGCAAGCATTCGTCAGGATGGAAGAGAGCGGACGATCCCCCACCACGGCCACTCCCCTTCGCTGAGAGCAAGAAGTAAGTGCCACCACGAGGCCACCCGGCATCTCTGGGGCAGGAAAAGGGTGACTCTCTGTGCTGTTCTGTACCCTGGATCTATATCTGTGAACAAGACAGGCGACAGAGAGCCCTGTTCTTAGGGAACTGACAGTTCAGTTGGGATGACAGACAGGAAATACAGTAAATAAGGGACTGTATTTGAGGATGGAGGCATGCGGCTGTAATGGCAGCACTCCCGTCCCTGGGTGGGCATGCTGGTAGTTGAGATGGGTCCCCCAACATCCAACTTTCTCCATGGGTTCCAGAGGTTGGACTTGGCTCATGTGACCTGCATGACCTTCACTTTACACCCACTGAGTCACCTCCCTGGCTGCTGGCTCGCTCTCCTGCTTGCCTTTGAACTCACACATTTGTTTGTGTGTGAGTTTATGGGCACGTGGGTGTGAATGCCAGAAAAAGGCATCAGGCATCCTTCTCTGTCGCTCTCTGCCTATTGCTCTGAGGCAAGGTCTCTTCCTGGACCTTGGCCTCCCATATTCTCTGTTAGACTAGAATCCAGCACGATACTGTGATCCTCCTCAGAGCGGGAGTTGAAGAAATGGACAAAATGCCTGGCTTGTTACATAGGTTCCAGGAGCTGAACTCTTTCCAGCTCCATGTAGATAGAGGAAGTGGTCTGTGCCGTTAAAAAAGGGCTTTGGTACTAGAGCATAACTTAGCAGATTACTTGCCTAGAATCCCCCAGTGAGGTGCTGGGGGCGTGGCTCAGTGGTAGAGCCCCTGCCTAGAATCCCCCAGTGAGGGGCTGGGGGCGTGGCTCAGCGGCAGAGCCCCTGCCTAGAATCCCCCAGTGAGGGGCTGGGGGCGTGGCTCAGCGGCAGAGCCCTTGCCTAGAATCCCCCAGTGAGGGGCTGGGGGCGTGGCTCAGTGGCAGAGCCCCTGCCTAGAATCCCCCAGTGAGGGGCTGGGGGCGTGGCTCAGTGGCAGAGCCCCCGCCTAGAATCCCCCAGTGAGGGGCTGGGGGCGTGGCTCAGTGGTAGAGCCCCTGCCTAGAATCCCCCAGTGAGGGGCTGGGGGCGTGGCTCAGTGGTAGAGCCCCTGCCTAGAATCCCCCAGTGAGGGGCTGGGGACGTGGCTCAGCGGTAGAGCCCCTGCCTAGAATCCCCAGTGAGGGGCTGGGGGTGTGGCTCAGTGGCAGAGCCCCTGCCTAGAGAGTCCCTGCCTAGTATCCCCCTGCCTTTTAGAGGGTAGTTCTCTTCTTCCTCCATGTGGGTCCTAGGGATCAATGTTAGGTCCTCCAGTTGGGCAGCCTTTTCTCTCCAGCCTTTTCTAAATGCATTCATTTATTGAAGGCTCACAGCAACTCCATGAGGATGCAGTATTCTCCCCACTTAACAGATAAGGCAACTAAGCTCCGGAATCCATGCAGGAGGAGATGGCCCTTGGATCAGAGCCACACAGCCACATCCAAACTCCTGTTCTGTGGGTAGAGGAGTTTCTGGCTTCCTCCATCTGTTCTTTCCAACACCTTCTTTCCTGACCTGGATGGGGCTGCTTAAATCCGTGGGTGACATAGAGCCTGGGGGAAGAGAAGCACCAGGAGACAGAAAATGGTCCCTGGAGGTGTTAGCAGGCTCTGAGAATCCAGTTCACGTGTCTCACTGACAGCCAGAGGGGACTCTGAAAACTAGAATCTGGCCATTCGCTCTCCTTCTTACAATCTCCGGCCACCCCACCCCATCCCAGAGTTAATGTTGGAGGCTCGGACACAGTGGTCCTGTTCTGTATCCTGGGCTGTGTACCACCCTTCCTGCACAGACTCCTGCCAGGTCCTGTCTCATACTTCCATCCTTCACTCTGCTTCAAATTGGACGCATGCCAACACCACCCCACCCCAGGGCCTTTACACTGCCACTAAGTGTCTCGGGACAGTGTCCTCCTAGGTAGTCTCAGGCTAATGCCACCTGCTCAGACTGGCCTTTACAGCCTGGGTAGGCGAGTCTTCTCTGGGATCTACTTCACATTTCTCTCACTGGAAGACAAGTGTCACTGTCTTGGTCACAGGGCACTTGTAACCTGCCTCGCACACACTGGGGTAGCTTGGTCAGTAAACGGACTAGCCATGAATCTCACTTGATTCTATGACCCCAGTAAGCAAGAGGTCCCCCTGCTTTTCAACGCAGCCAGAGGAGCAAACCCTACAGACCCTCATCTGCTCCTCTGTGTCCCGTGGCTCCTCTCCTGCCCTCCTGAGTTCTTATCCCATCTCCGTGGGCATCACGCCCTCTGCCTGGAGCTCCCATCCGCCTCACCCCCTGTGTGTGGCTCTGTAGGCCCATTGCACTGAGGGACACGGAGTGACACTGTAGAAACGGACGTCTCACAGTTGTGGGGGGCGCGGCAGAGTCTCCCACTGTGTCTGTGAGGGAGAGACAGTCTGTCCCAGGCCGTCTCTAGCATCCTCTGTTTTGCAGGAGAAGCTGCTTCACCTCCCAGCACCCATTTCATCTTCATAGGGCCTTCTGCTCTGGGTGAGGCTGTAATCACCTTTCCCCAATCTGATCAGATTGTCATCCACCCTGGTGGCTTCATTTCAACTTGATGACTTCCCCAGAGGCCCTGTTTCTAGTGCAGTCACATTCACACTGGCTCTTTTTTCTTAATTGAACCCAGTATTGTGCACATGCTAGGCAAATGCTCTACCTGTAACCTGGATTTTACACACACACACACACACACATACACACACACACACCCCTGATGCTGACAATGGAACCCAGGGCCTTATAAACACTAGGCAAGTTTTCTGCTCTCTGAGCTGCATCCCCAGCCCCGGTCTTTTGAGACAGAAACTGGCCCTGCCTCTGTCTCTGGAGTTCTAGGGCTGTAGGTGTGTGCCACCCTGTCTGGCTACAAATATATTTGTTAAAATCACAAATAGAAAAGACTGACTAAATTCTTTATATTTTAAGATTTATCTATTTTATATGTATGAGTGTTGGCTGTATAATATTATATGTATACTTTGTACATGTGCACATAAAGACCAGAAGAGGGCGCTGGATCACCTAAACTAGAGTTACAGGCAGTTCTGAGCCACATGTGGGTGCTGGAAATTGAACTTGGGTCCTCTTTAGGAGCAGAAGTTTTTCTCAGCCGCTGAGTGACCTCTCCAGGTCTGACTTATAAGGTCGCTGGGCAGGACAGGGCCATGTTTTGTTTTTCAGAGCTCAAGCCCAAGGCCTGTGCGTCCTAAGCAAGGTCTTCTCTGCTATGTTGAGTCCCGTCCGTGGAGCCTTGCACTCAGACTCTCCCTGAGCATCTCAAGATCATGACCTTGTCACTCTTGAGTCATCATCTAACCCAGTTTTTCAGAAAACACTATTTCTGACTCCTGGCTAAATTCCTTGAGTTCAGACACACCATCACTGGAGCATGACCCTGTTGCTAGGGATCAGGCTTGGTGGTAGAAACCTCCCCTTACCAGGCTGTCACCAGGTATGGTGGGGCCCATGTCCCAGAGGTGGGAGAATAGGAGTCTCTCAGCTGGGCTACTTGGTCACAGCGTCTGTCACTCCTGCCAGTCTTGGGGTTTCCCTCCACATGGTTCCAGAGAACCAGGAGCCTACTCAATCTGTCCACCTCTGAGTTTGTCACAGTCCCTTGTGTAAAGGGTGATGGCCCACAAGGACCCACACTGTGTAGCGAGCGCAAGGAGCATGGCCTGTCGGCCAGGCTGTGCTACCTAGCCCCAGACCCTCCTGCAACCCCACAGAGGGATCTTGTTCTTACCCCATTTCCCAAAGGCACCAAGGTCCCAACTAGACAAGGCCTGGCAAACTCAAAGCTCAGACCAAGAGCATCTCATCTCTCAGATTCAAGCATGGGGACCACGTACAAGATGGTGTGCTCCTCTTCTGAGAGAAAACCAGCACCTCGTGTTGAGGCACACTCTCTGCTTGATGAGCTAGAGAAATGGACCCTGTGCTGTAGAGCCTGAGCATCTACCACAATAAATAGGGCACCGTGTTGGCTTTGACCAACAGCTCTGCCTTCACTCTGCCACCAGAGGGATGGCAAGGGATGAGGACCCACTATTGGCTGCACCTCAAGGTCCATCTCTAAAATGGGGTGGTGGCAGCTCCTACTACAGGGATGCTGTGAGGGCTTTCAGAGTCATCCCAAGTCTGCAAGCACAAGGTGGCTTTTACCAGCCACCCTGCTCCAGAGGCACGGAGCCAGAGCATGGCAGCCTTCTCTGATTGGAAGCTTCTTTTTTTTTTTTTTTGGTTTTTCGAGACAGGGTTTCTCTGTATAGCCCGGGCTGTCCTGGAACTCACTCTGTAGACCAGGCTGGCCTCGAACTCAGAAATCCGCCTGCCTCTGCCTCCCGAGTGCTGGGATTAAAGGCGTGCGCCACCACCGCCCGGCATGATTGGAAGCTTCTACATCTTTGGTTCCTCCGCTTCGAAGGCTAATCTAGCTGAAAGGCTGACACTACCTCACAGCTAGGTGGTTGTGTAGCGAGGGAACACAGTCCAAGTTGCTGTAGCCATGCTTGAGCCTGTCCTTCAGTGTGCAGCCACACCGATACCACCCCCCTCAGCGCCACCACGTGATACATTCATTATAGAGGCATGATTTTTTTTTAAGGGCCTGTGGTCTTTGTCCAAGGGACTGAGAATTAGGCACAGGAGGCCCCTAGAACGGCTTCTATACATAGGACCTGCGACATAGTTGAGGGGTCGTCAGGAAGACAAGGCACCAGTCACTGCTGAGGATCTAGGCATGAACATCCGCATCTATGAATCGGGACAGCCCACTCGCTCATGGCAGCAAGGAGCATCCCGGGACCTGGGAGAGTGAGTGGCCACAGGAGGTGATAGTCTACCACAGCTGCTAGCTCCAGCCACAGTTACAGACGCAGTCCATGGGTCACACGACTTTGTTTTAACCTAGAATATCAGCGTCCTTGCCAGGGACATGGAGATGGCTACCTGAGGGATGCACACAGTTAT